GGAAAATACTTCAGTTAAAATAGCATACAATGGTCTTATAACAAGTATATAAATAGCACTAGGATTTCATAAAAATAGATAAAACAAAATGCAATTACATGTAATTTCAGTTTCAGTAATTATGCAGAATGGTCTATGCTACAGCGTTTCTTTAATACGCAGAGGTAAAGGATGGCTGACCCAATACAAACTATTACAGGAATGGAACCAAAAGACGTCCAGACGTAGATTCTACAAAAATCTAAACAAAGAATTTCATCATATAATAAGTAAAATACCACGTTTTTTTCTTCAGAAAAACCCGGGAGTTATTGCAGGGTATTCCAAATTACATGCAACGTCAATGCGAAGCAGCGAATTTACCATGAATTTTTTTTTTTTTTAGAAACTTCGATTTAGCAGAAAGGATCTTTTGGACTTTTAAAACCTCATTTTAGGAGTAACTGATTTATCAAAAAAAAAAAAAAAAAAAAAAAAAAAAAAAAAAAAAAAAAAAAAACAACGCCCACGGTGAGTTGGTTGTAAAGACTCCAAGTGAGTAGTGCCATTGTTGAAGGTGACATATATACAGGAATCGAAACTGTTCTCTTGAACATCCCCTGTATGAGAGTATTACAAGCAGCTTATACCATCGTTCTTGTCTCTTCTGAATGTAATCCATACTCTCAACCCATTGTCTACTCTGCTTTTTTTTGCCAAACATAACATACTAACATATTTAAAGGAAGGGTGTGTGGGCGAAAAAATAAAATGTACATCACATGTATTTAGAATATTTAAAGAGCACTTCTATATCGTCATATATTTCCATTTCTAATTGTTTTCTCTGTGATAACTCTTTGAAAATTAGGAGAGTTGATTTCTTGATCATTCCATCGGAATGCAAATTTCGCCGAGCGAAAGGTCAGGAGCTAAGAAGGCCTAATATGCATGTAATTCTCGTGCGGCTGCATTTGTGTCTGACTCTAAGGAGGCCTAATATGCATGTAATTCTCGTGCGGCTGTCTTTGTGTTTGACGTCAGTGGGCGGGGACTATTGAAATTGCCATGTGAGGCCTCGTGTAATTTAAATCTATTAGTCTACATTTTTAAAATCTAAATTTACAATTTTATTTCACAATGAAATGGAAATATAAGGAATCACTGTCTAGTTAGTAAAGTATGCCAGGGACATCAACGATAGTTGCAATTGGAAACGTGGGATAATTTGCATAACGGGCGAAGCCCGTTATGCATAACAGTGATTCCTTATTTACCTGTCCAGGTATTTCCAATGTGATTCCAGTGAAAAATGTTGTACAATTAGTACATGACCAACTACTTGTTTTCTTTTTTTTTTTAACACGAATTCAATTTTGACAGTTTGTACGCGTGAGGGTAGATTTGGCACGTGCAAGGAAACTTGAGACATCCGAAAGTGGACTTTAAAAAATCAAACAGAAAATCCCGCTTTTTTACTCATCTTAGCCGAAGGCTCAAGTGAGATTTTTTGGTCGAAATCTGTCTGTTGTATGTCGTCGTCGTCGTTGTAAGCTTTTCACATTTTCATCTTCTTCTCAAGAACCACTGGCTCAATTTCAACCAAACTTGCCACAAAGTATCCCTGGGTAAAGGGGATTCAAGTTTGTTCATATGAAGAATTCGTGAAAAAATAATGGCATCATTTAAAAATCTTCTTCTCAAGAATCACTGTGCTAGAAAATATGAAACTTTTGTGGAAGCATCCTCAGGTAGTGTAGATTCATTTTTTTTCAAATCATGACCCCCGGGGGTAGGGTGAGGCTATAGTGAGCAATCATCATAGGACATAGGAATATATAGGGAATATCTTTAAAAATCTTCTCAAGATCAGCAAAGCCATGATTAGACAAATTTATATGGAAGCATCCTCAGGTAGTGTAGATTCAAGTTTGTGCAAATCATGACCCCCAGGGTAACAGTGGGGCCACAGTGGGCATTCAAATTTTTATTAAGGAATATATAGGGAGTATCTTTAAAAATCTTCTTCTCAAGAACAGCAAAGCCATAATTAGTTATATATTTTTTGAAGCATCCTCAGTAGTGTAGAATCAAGTCAGTTCAAATCATGACCTCTGGGGAGTAGTGTGGGCCACAATGGATGATCAAAGTTTTACATGGGAATACATTGAAAAAAAAATCTTTAAAAATCTTCTCAAGAACAGCAAAGCTGTGATTGGTCATAATAAAATAAAAGCAACCTCAGGTAATGTACATTCAAATTTGTTCAACTCATGGCCCCCAGGAGTATAGAGGGGCCATAACAGGGGATCATAGTCATACAAAAGAACATAAAGGATATTTCAATAAAAATGTCTCTTAAGAACAGCAAAATCATTATTTGTCATATTAATTAAAAGCATCTACAGGTAGTGCAGATTCAAGTTTGTTCAAATCATAACTCCCCACCACTTTATATTTAAACTTTTCAATACTGAACTGATTTCTGCTTTTTCCTAGCCAAAGTGCTCCGGTGAGCGATGTGGCCCATGGGCCTCTCGTTTGTCCCCTTCGTCACCTATGACCAATGTCTGGCCACAATGTAATGATACTTTCATTGTCAGTATTTTGTCTGATTTCAATTCAATTACTCTCGGGATAAGCATGAACCATTGCCAGGACAATTACAACCTAAGAGCAAAACGTAGAAAAACTGGATTTACAAGATTTTGCTTTATTACATTTTGCATCGAGATTAGCAAATTACATCTCTCAATTTTTTTAAAATACAAATTGAATGAATTTTTTTTATCCAAGTATCTTAATTAAAACATTGCCGTTGTATTATATTTTATTGTATTGTATTGTCTCCGCTGAGAGGAATTTTATAGCCTCAATACGTAAATAGTCTCTCCCTGAATCAGGCGGAGGAGGGCTAAGTTGAATATTACATCGTAAAATATAATATAATCCAAATGATAATCATTTCCATCTGCACTATTATATTTTGCGTAAATCTCAATCATGAATATTAAGAAGACAAAATGAAAATATATTTAAATAAACATACCACAAATAAATTTTCTTATCTCTCAAACAGAAGAGTAACATTGCTCTTACTCCGATTTCTTTCAATGAAAATCTAATTAAGAAATTTCAATTATTTAGAATGTAAAAATAGACTTGAAATTGTTTCCAAAAACTTTATACTAATAAAACTTCATAATATTTCTAAATTTAAGCAAAGTTAATTGAATTTTGAAAGAAACTATTTATTTGTGTTATTTTATCCTTATTTATATTAGAATTTTATCGAAATATTTGTAAATATGAATTTAATAAATCAGCAGTAATGTCTTAAATTTTAAAACAAAAAAATGATGCAAAATGCTCACCTCGAAAGTGATTTACCAAATTAAAATCAGTTGAAATGCTGACAGTTGAAGTGACTTAACATTGTGATCATTCATTGAGGAGGACAAAAAGTAAAACAGTGGTATTTTATTAGGTCCACTTTTGGATATGTAACAAGAAATGACAAACACTTAGTCAGTTTGTGAGATTTGTGAAATATTCATTTAAACCGTTCTTAACATATTTAAGGTAGTATCCATGTCGGAAAGTCTTTGTCACAGGATTTTCAAACTTTTCAAAATGATAAATTAGCACTCGCTTATCAATCAGTTGAAATTATCTGGCATGTTTCCTTGATATTTAATGTAGTGCAGCCTGTGCAACTTTGAATGATAATTATACATTGCGACTACTCATTTTCAGCCATTTGAGAGGAGGGGCACTATCAGAAGGAGAATATACAAAATAACGGAAATAGTTCTTCAAACATTGTCGTTGAAAGACTTTATTAAGTGAACAATAATAAGCAAAATTATTCAGGAACGATTTCTATTTTATTCAATTGATATAAATGATTAAGCCCATATTTCAACAATAAAGCAAGTGCGCTTAATATTTTTTGAGTCTATTTACCACCCTAAATTTTTTTGTAAATATTTTTTCTTAAATATGATGAAGAATATATCCAAATGATTATGAAAAGTGATTGAAACATATATCTTTTCCCGCAAACTTACCTTTTTGCACCTACACAGGATTAATGATTAATTGACTGCTTAGAGGTTATGTTCAGATTTACAATGTGACTATTTATCAAAAATGGATTTTTTTTTTGGTATTTTAAAAGAAATTTTTTTTAGGAAAACAATATTATTATATACAAACCATTAAAAATACAAATGAAACAAATAATAATGAAAATGAATGCACCTCATTCCATGATAGATATTACAAACTTTAAACACAATCTCTAAAATATATGACTCAGACACATGTCTTCAAGATATTGTACTATTTATAATTTGGCAAATAAAGATTTTTTTTTTTTTTAGAAATTGTGCATTTCTTCGAAAATAGTTGCATGCCATTCACATTATCACATTTGTGTATTTCATTAGATACGACAAGTCTTGGATTTGTCCACTTAACTATATCGTAGGTTCTACTTCAACTCGTGTTAAATGTATAAAAGGTGATTTTCCTATTTTGCAGCCAATATGTTTTGGCGCCACTGAGAAATGTACTTACAATCGGTTGGAAGAATCGCATCACAAATGATCATCTTAGTGGGAACCTACCAAAGATCACATTCATTAACACGCTAAAGAGGGACATATGAGTTGAGCTGGAGGAACTGCATGTCAGCATGCAAGACAGAAAACAGTGGCCGAACGTTGTAGCTCAATCTGGAATGAGCTTGAAATTTATAGTATGTATAATATTAATGCATTAAAGTTTCATGGAGCTTACAGTTAATATTTGAAAGTATTATGAAAAAAAATCAATTTTCATTATTCATTAAGCATTGTGATTTTTAAATTTTTTTAAACCTTTTTTCATATTAATAATAATTGAATATACTAAAACTAAATAACATGATAATTAATGCAAATAAATCCCAATCCAAAAGGTTTTTTGCCCATTGTCAGCTGCACAGTCGTCACCAAAGTCCCTATCTTGAAGGAGTTTTATTCTTGAACGTGAAGTTTGCTGTTATTGCCATCTTCAAAGAATTTGTTATTCTTAGCTTGCTTGAGGTCTTTGAGGGTTGCAGTATCTGCAAGATGTTTCATTTCTCTGCATAATATGACCTATATCAAAAAACAAATTAGAACAAAAAATATATAAAATGTTGGTGCCTAATAAGGAAAATGAAAAGAAAGAAAGAGAATGAGTATTGACATTTTTTAATAATTCTTTTTTTTTATTTAGAACTTTATTGTCGTCAAAGAAGTGTTACAGGATATATTAATCATATCTATGAAATTTAAATACAAACAAACGTCTTCCTTCAATTAACCAGCTTTTGATCTAGCTCTTTACTATTCGACTACACAGATGGCTGAGCATCACGTTTTCAGTTATCAATCAATTTCATCTATGTTTAGATACAATCTGCACGGAACGTAATCTATCAACTTACCTTTATCACATCTTTTAATGAAGTTTGGGTCCATTGACAGTTCTTCACTTTCATTTTCAACTTTCAGTACATCTTGGGTTGTATCACTTTCTTTTGACTCCCAGTTACTCAATCGCATTGCTTGTTGTTTGCCTCGAAAACCTGTTTGGGTATCTCTGTTTATTCGTCCTTGTGTTGGTTGTACTTTGAACTCTTTCTTATATGCAGGTATTACACTACGATTATGATCAGTCATTTTACTCTGTACTGAAGGCTTCCAAATTTTTCCAATTTCTCCAGCGATAGATAAGGCCTGCACAGTGTTAGGTCCTTTAAGACTAGTTACCGTAGTAATCATGATGTTGCAGGAACCACACTTACCTTTACCATTTGGTAAATGCGAAATGTGTCCTAAATAAAGGTTGTCAAAATTACACTTCATAACAACTTAATGAATTACATTTAATTTTGTAGATACTAAATATTAGCAAACATAAAGCACTTACCAAATTTACATTTGAACCAAACGCCTTTTTCCCATGTCGCTTTGAAAGAATTGGCGAATCTGCTCTCTATATTCTTTGATATGCTTTCCCCCAACACCATTTCACTTCCACTCTTTATAGCTATCAAATTCAATATCTTTTTTAACTCGTCATCCAATGGCGACTGTCCAGCGAGAAAAGGACGAATTTTTGATCCGTATGTAATCAAATAAATGTTTTCTTCGGACAATGATCCGGTATTTGATAGTAATAAAAACTCAACCAAATACGCAAGTCCTTTTAGAATAGAGGACACATTTTGTATTTCTTGCTTGGAAAAGCACGACCTGTCAACAAAGATGTGGTGTTTTTGCCCCTTTTCAGATCTTGTTTCTACGCATTTAAACAGCCAATCGCGAATAAAATAAAGCTTTGTTGCCACTTGTTTCTCTTCTTTTGTTCCCTCAATGACGGAATTAGACATGAGTTGTAGAATTTCATATAGGGCTGATAAAATTTCAATTTGTATCAAAGCAAGCTGTATTTGGTGATAGCCTGGCATATATGTTTTCTCTTTTACTAAAGGTAAAAGTATTCTCTTTACAATTTCGTCATTATCTCCCAATGACTTAGACATTTTCAGTACTCTCTGATGTTCACTTTTGAAATTGCTGTAAGCAAGTTTTTCACTTAAATATTTTGTTATTTCAACAGCATTTTTCCTACTCTCCTCGTAAACATTTTTATACCTATCTGTTCCATTTATAGGTTTTTCACAAGTAGGGCATGTTTTAGCCGAAATTATGCTATATGGCCTCTTTTCTTTATAAAATATGTAGTTATCTAAAGTTTGCGCTTCAAAAGTATGCCCACAGCTCTTCAAAGTAACTATTGGTTCGTGTTCTTCAAGGTTACACTGTTTTTCTGTCGATTGCATAATGCATACCTTGTCACATGTTTTACAGAAAGGAGGACATAGTTCTCCACAAAGTCCAGAACATTGATGACCACATTCTCTGACCTTTACACAAGGAAATGTACAAGGAAGAATGCTGCATTTTTTATTACAAAGCTCACGGCATTTGGCATGCTTGCACCCCCTTGCACAGCGTTTATCACAAGGATCGCAAATTTCCCCACAAACCTTAGTGCACTTTGTATGGCGGCATGAAAACTCGCATTTTTTCTTGCATGGTGGACATCCTTCAACACATCTCTGCTTACAAATATGTCCACATATGAGTGTTTTTCCACAAGTTTGCTGGCATTGTATGTGTAACTGACCTTGCATGCACTCCCCACACGTCCCAGAACAAGCATGGCCACACAAAAGAATTGCAGTGCATTTCACTGTGCACAATGGGCGAGATTTGACTTTGAAACACGGACCTTCCATGGTATGCCCACAATATAGGACTGATGTACATATTTCTTCACATGCTCGATGTCCTTTTATTTTTCTGCATTCCTCACATTTTCCTTGACAAGTATGCTGACAAGAAAGCATTTGATTACAAGGTTGCATACATTTAAAATCAGAAACATCTTTGGAACATGGCATAATATTTTCGTGCTTACAAGCTTTCATAGGTTTCCTTACAAGTTCCATGCATTTGCCACAGTCCTGAAAACACTCTTTTTTGCATTTATGTCCAAGATGACAAATTGTTTTAGTACATGGCTGTGTGCATTTGTACTTCTTATGTTCTGGATCTTTATTGTGACAAAATTGCAAGCACTGGTGACCACATTGTAAGTATATATTACAAGGTTTTCCACAGCCACCTAAAGGCATTTTGTCAAAATCTGTATCACGCTGTACACAGCAGATAAAATCTGAATGATTTTCACATCTCAGTTTTAATGCTTTTCCAAACTTATCTTCATTTTTAACAGTACCAATGATTTTCTGCCACAATTCACTTTCTTCCTCAAAAAGACTAAAATTGCCAATTACGAATAAACCTTTACGAGCCCTTGAGAGAGCGACACATACCCTGTTATCTATCTTTAAGAATCCAGCCTTTTGTTCTTCATTGCTTCTCACCAAAGACAGGATGATGATATCACTTTCTTCTCCTTGAAAATTGTCCACTGATGTAATTTTTACCCCTTCAGATTCATGTTTAGGTATTTCTCGCTTCAGAACTAATACTTGACCAGTGTATGGTGTCAGAATAACAATATCCTCCGGTTGATAATCTTGATCTAGTAAATATCTGCATAGTCTTTTCACAAATCTAGCTTCATGCAAGTTTGAACGACTTTTTGTTTCAAAATTTTTCTCCTCGGGTTCATCATGGTCAATGAAAAACAAATCCGAAGTAATTCCACGGATCCTATCATACTTAATAACACACGGGTGATCTTTTAATTCCGGATATATGTGTTTCATAAGCACAGATATTTCCGGGCGCATTCTATGTTGTAAATTCAGAGTGACGAAATTCAACTCATTCGTGACCATTCTTTCAAATAAAGATATCTCAAGTTTGTATTGTTTTGCTAATTGATAAACCGTGGGTGTCGGTCTCAGTTGTTTGTGGTCCCCAATAAGAATCATGTGTTGACACTCAGAGTTGATAGTGGTGACAATATGTGACTCCAGCACTTCTGCTGCCTCTTCAACAATGATGATTTTGGGTTTAATAGACTGCAAAATACTTCGAAATTTTGCAGCTCCGGTTGTTGTCAATCCAAGAACGTCGGCTCCTGCCATTATTTCTACACTTTCTAAATCAAGGGCTTCCTTGTAAGCTTTACATTTTCCGTTATATTCCTGTTCAGTATCTTTTATAGATTGCCTTTTCGCAATGATATACTGATCCACCCAATATCGATATAATCTTCTTCTATCGTCTAAGGATAGTTCCCAAACGTCCTCAATGTCTTCACTTTCGCTTTTTGTCATTGCATCACTACAGGTCAAAACCTTTTTGAGTTTCATTCGAATATGTTGTTTGGAAATATGTTCCATCCATGTTGACCTTTCAGAAAGGTTCAATTTATCTGAGAGAATTTCTACAGATGCTTTTGACAGGATAGTTGTCATAGGAGAGTCTTTTTCCTTTTCCCTCCAGTCAGTGTCACTTCTATGTGAATAGTCATCATCAAGAATGCGGTCATCAAAATCCTCTTCATCGCTATCCTCATCTTCGATCTTCCTTCCGTCTAATATTTCAGCGATACGATTGCAACTCTCTGTTGACCCATCAAAATTAAGCCACAAAAAGAAAGACTGTGACGACTGTGCATATCCCTGTATCTCTATGATCAGTTGACCCAGAAAAGGATTGACAAATGTTTTTATGACTTCTTCGTCCATAATTTCTTTTTCACTTGCCTTTAAAATGCCTATTAACTTATTGATATTTTGAATACTCGTGGTCATTTCTAATGGTGCATACGGCATGTTTAGATGATTAAGCGCATTATTATATCGCTTGAGATTTATGTCCAAATTCTTTTTCACCCCAGACTTAAATTCTGATAATAAAACTTTGAAAAGACTCCCCCTTTGTCTTAAATTTAATTTCCAGGGATTATGATAACGCTTGAGAAGTTTCATTGGCAAAGGATCGATTTTTCTGCCTCTGATTAGTTCCTGTTCCCATTGCAATAGAATTTCATATTTCTTTTTGAGAGCTTTTTCCTCTTCCGACTCTGTACCACAGTTTTTAAGTAAATACATTTCCCTGTCGATTTCCAACCATTCGTCAATGTAACTGCCACTTTCATTTTTTAATTCTGCAAAATGTTTTTTGGAAACGACAGCTTCCAATTCTTCTATGGAGAGAATGCCTAATTTTGCAATTTTAATTTTTCTACTTACACTTTCAATGGCTTTTCGGTGTTCTTCCATATTGTGATAACAGTCATTTTTTCTGTCGTAGACAGCCTGTGATAAAATGCGCGAGAATTTTGCCTTTCTTCTATACGAAGTTAAAGTGTACTCTTCAAGTTCCGGAACTTTTGATCGTGAACCGATTCGAACAAGTTTTTTGGTATATTTTTTTATGCCAAGAAGAAACTGGTCCAGTGCATGATTTGTATAGCAAACAACCAAAATCGGCTCAGGTTTATCCTTTTCAGCCCAAATATCTCTATTAAGTAGTAATATCTGAGCAATTTTCATTCCAAGAAAAGTCTTTCCGGTACCGGGGGGACCTTGGATCAAGGCAATTTCTTTAGTCAAAGCTAACTGAAGAGCTTTATGTTGAGAATGATCCAAATGTAATGTCTCTGCGGAGGGCCATTTTGATGTACTGAGTATTGGAATCTCAGTTCGACATCTGCTTTTACTTTCACAGCATGAAACGTCTGCGGGTCTCTTATCATCGTCTTCCTTATAAAGAAGGATTGAAAAGTCATAAAGCAAAACACCTGAAGACAGAAGATATTGAGGAGGTTTTGCATTTGCTTGACAATGTACAATATACTTCTGGAATGGCATTTCTTGCGTTATTTCTTTCATACCCTCCAGTATATGTCTGTAAGCTTCAAAGTATGCAGTGGTTTCAGCTACAACATACAAATGATTTGCTGTAGCTTTTTCAACTTTGCTTAGATCTTTTTCTTGAAACTTTACTTCTATTTCGCCATTTTCCAACATTCTCTCATTACGATCCGTAACACTTGCAAAGAGAATATTTTTGAATCCATCCTGAGATAAACAAAGCAGTGCCCCATACATTAACCTTCTTGAAGATTCCCATCTAATGTTTCTTAGTTTGGTCATATCTAAACGTATCAAATGTGCAATACCCTCATCTCTACACACAGGGCGGACTATCTGAACATTAGTATAAATTCTCACATCCCCAACTTTCCTGCGAAGATTTTTGTGTACTGACTGCTTTTTGTACTCCATAATTCCTTCTCGCAATGGCCGTAAAAAATCTTCTCGAAGCAATCTAAACTGAATGTCCAAATAATGATCTAAGTTGTCATATCCGCCTTTTATTTTGTTAGCCCTTAGAAAAGGCTTTTCGTTGAAATCAAAATCTTTCATTTCGGGAAGAACAGAGAGCTGCCTGAAATTTTCAGGTGGTTCTTGCGATTCACAATCATCACTCGACAACGTTATTGCTTTTCTATTGTCGACCTTTTGAATATTATCTTTTGCAGCTTTGAACTCTTTCATTTTCGTAACGACCTCGGGCTTGTAATGGAGGATTCTACTAGAATTTTTGGCTACAACCCTATCTAGATATTCAATTAAAATGCTCCACTGAGATACGTGGCTTTGCATTCTTTGAATCAATGTATGAGTCAATGAACAAACGTTTTCCATTAAAGAAGAAAATTCGATGTCTTGTAACTTTACTTCCCCAAGTTCTATCTCTCCAAGAAAAAGAAGAAGATTAACCATTATGAAATTAGAAGTATTCAAAAGCGCCACCAGTTCCAGCTTTGTTTGGTGTTTTTCGGATTGAAATGATTTCACAAGAAGTGAAATAATCATTATCATCCAATCTGGTTTTAATTTCTGACTCAAGATATCACCAAAACCATTCCTCTTTGTAACTAATTCTAGGAGAATTTCGTCAGCATTCCTTGATGAACTGTCTAAGTCTTTTAGTCTTCTGTAGCCCATTCTACGGCTTTGGACTTCATTGTGCATCTTCCCTTCATTAAAATTTTTATCAGCATTTTCGTTGTTTGTCCACCTGTCTTGTTCTTGATTGTAAAATGGACGTCTCCTGAAATTTCTTCGCCCCTGAAAATGCCCTCGATCCCGATTATAAAGTCCACGATGGTTTTGATGTTCTTTTTCATATTGATTGTGAGTTGATTGTGTATCAACTACTGCTTTATAACCTCTTCTTGATGACCTTCGCATACCTGACCGTCCTCTTGATTCTGTATGCCTGGTTGCACTACGGTAACCTTGATGACTTTGGACATAGTTATATTCTTTATCGGAAATTTTGCTCGGTACGTTAGATTCTATAAATTGAGATGGATCTACAAAATCCTCATCAGAGTATATATGCAACGGATATCTTTGTTTTCCCCCGGACTTTCTACTGCGCTGATCAATATGAATTTCTTCCTCGTCGTTATCACTGCTATCAGGGTATTTTGCAGCCATAGCTATGTATTTTTGCAAACTGTCACAGTCCCAGCTTGTATGATTGATTGATGTCTCTTCTCATTCTGCAAGAAAATTAATTTTAAAAGAAACACTTGAATTAATGGTGTTTCTACTTACATCCTCAACTAAAATTGAAGACAGAATACAAATTATAGGATTTATATTTTTCTCTTTCTGCTACATGCACAGGCTGACAATATCACTAACGTTTATGTAAAATATTACAATTGCTTGCATCTAACGTTTTCAAAGAATATTAGATATAAATAGTATTAGCGTAATAAGATACCTTCTATACACACAAGAGCTTGTGCAGATGAATAATATGCCCTTATAGATCTTTTAAAGAAAAAATGAATTGAAACACACAGTGTGATACTTAGTTTGTAATCTTTTCAAGCATACTTAAGACTTAAGGTCAAAACAAATTAATTGAGTACTTATACTCGGCACTCAGAGCCATTGAGCAGTGAGGGTCTTTATCGTGCCAACGTCTACCGTGACACGGGACCTAGTTTGTTTGTTTGTTTGTTGTTTTTTTTTTTTGTTTTTTTTAAGTCTCATCCGAAAGATACGTGAATTTCCATAAATTTATTGGCGTGATAAATTCACAGCATTCAGCCCCAGCCTTAATTCCAACTATGTCCCAATGTATTATCTTTAAATGGTGTTAAATTAGAATTGAATAAAGTAATATTCATATTACATGGGAAATGCTTCTGTGGCACCAGACTAAGTTCACAATATGGAGTGATTTTTGATTGACAGGTGTAGCACCGTGCATAGACTTCGTGTGACTATATATGTACAGATTGTGATTGACGGTGAAAATAATTAACAATCAGATCTAAAGGAAAGACTGATCGTGATTGATATTGTAAATAAAACAAAGAAATTTAAATGACATTTGCTCTAGGTACTGTACATGTACCAGGCCCGTAGCGACGGTTTCAAAAGGGGGGGGGGGGCTTCCAAAAAAAATCTGACAAACCAAAAAAAAAAAACAAACAAAAAAAAACATAAAACAAAAAACAGAAGAAAAAAAACAAACAAAAACAAAACAAAAACAAAGAAAAAAACAAAAAAACATAAACAAAACAAAGAAACAAAAACAAAAAACAAATACAAAAACAAAAACCAAAAACCAAAAAAAGAAAAAAAAACCCAACAAAAACCTAACCTGACCAAAAATGGGGGCCAGCTTCCCAAAATTATTTGACATGTAAAAAAAAAAAAGAAAACCTATTTTACTGTCCAAATCCCGGAACTTTACAATATCAAAGAGTGGGGGGGGGGGGGCAACCTGCAATTATAGGAAAAGCTACAATGCAAAATATTATATTCAGCCCCTCCCCTTTTCTACGGGCCTGTGTACGTTATATGCTGATGCGTTCTCTCTCTCTCTCTCTCTGTGAATTCTACGTTATATCATCCCATCCCGAAAAAAAAACCGTTTTGAAACAATTACCCAGAAAAGTGTTTTTTTCAAAGGGCACATTTATTAAAAGAAAATAATTTATTCTGTTTGGAAGATAAGTACTGTAAATGATACGAGTAGTTTGGCTGCGCTGGCGATTCCGACTTATGTAGTAATACGAGGGGTGATCAAAAAGTTCGCGAACTATCTCAATATACAAAACCATAATTCAGATCAGAATAAAATTTGGCACACATATAGTCATACACATATTCTATAGATAGCAGGTGCTATATAATGTTTTGCTCCTTGTTTGTGAAGTCACAATGTGAAAATGACGTCAATATGTAAGCGACTTGTGACAAAAAATGGTTGACTTAGTCGTACTCGAGCAACGAACGGCTGTAACGTTTAACGTATATTTTGGAAATTCCTTTGCAGTAGCATATAATAATTAGTACAAGGTTTATGAAGACAAAAGACTTCCCAGAAGTTGAATCATTAATTGGATTGATTGTTTTAGTGAAGGCAGGGAGATGGATAAAAATGATGTTTGTTCTGTTGCCCAGCGAAAGCAAGCCGGGGAAAAGATGTGTCCTTAGTTGAGCAATTTGTTTTGATAGATCGCCAAGTTACAATTAGAAAAAAAGTTGAATATCTTTACAATAATATAATTATTAAACCCTTAAATTTCGTTTACTTTAGACTTTAAGCATATGAGATATGATAAAAAAGAGGTAGACCATACTTTATTCACATTGGATAAACGACTCTTCCGAGACAGAGAACTCGGGTTTTGATGATTACCATGCTAATTCCGGGAAGGGATGTCCTTATCCACCCATCCTATTGCCGAGATTTGGCAATTCCAGACTGATGAAATGTTCTTGTTATAAAAAATAACTTGCATGGTAAGAAATATAAGACTCGGAAAAATCTTTTAGCTTCTGTGAACAGAACGCCACGGAGCATGTCACGTGACGGCCTGGATCACGTGATTCGCGCATGGACAGAACAATGGCAGATGTGCATTATAATCGTAGAGGACTACTTTAAAAAATAATGAGCATTGAAACCTCATTTTATTTCTTTTAAGGAAGTCATTCGAGTAGTTCGCGAACTTTTTGATCACCCCTCGTAGCTTGTGAATAATATATCATTAAAATGAAATTTTAACAGTGTACATGTATTGTTAATCATTTTCATCGTAAGGTGTCTAATAAGTTTGCAATGTTCATGTACAGGCATGTATGTTCTCATTGTACAATCTAAATTTTCGGAGCTGCACATTCATGCAGGTGGGATTGATCCTTTTGACACTCAGATTTTTAGTCCCATTAATCATTTAAAATCATACGACATAAAATTAATGATATTTACAATTCTGGACATACGAAATAAGTTTATAGGCACCTAAGCTATTACCGATATTATAATGTACTAAAAAATTATGATAACATAATACATGTATTTAAAAAATCATTTATATATTGAATTACAACGCAAGAAGATATTTTGAAAATGAATGATGAATAACTAAACACAGCGATAGGTTTCTCTATAGCAGAGATCAAGAATAAAAATAGGGGAAGACTACAAACCAAATATGCTTTATAAAATTGCTTGTGCAGTTCAACATTACCTCCGAGTTTCATTGATAACAAATCTTTTGAAGGCATGCGTAGAATTCTAGATTAATGAAGGAACTGTCAAGTCGCGGGCTTGGAATAGAGAGAAGACGCGCAGAAGTGATATCAGAGGAACAGGAGAATATGATTTGAACAAAGGGCATTCTTTGGACAGATTATCCTCAAAACTCCAAGCAATTCAATGAAGTGTCTTTAATAATGAGGACCATTATATAGTCAATTTAATCGCTTGGAATAATTTTCTTGAGAAGTCATCTCTCTTATCAGAGGGACATTATACCGTAAAATAATAAGCCTTACAAACAAAGGCAATGTTGCTACCTGCTTTGTCAGCTGGGACAAGTACAAACTGGTCTTGTAATCTATCTAATTCTTTTTTCACTTCAAAGTTACTGAACACAGAAGGATAGATGGTTTTAATATTGCCTATCAATTGCTTAATGCGAGATTTTAACATCCATCTGATACATTTAATCCATTCTGATAAAGTGTAAAGGTCTTCTTTTTCATGTTTGGCTCAATGCCTGACGTAATCTTCCACAGAATTCATAATATTTATGAAATTATGACGCCAATTAAAAGATCGGGGTTCCCTAAATATTTCGGCCCTTTTAAAATAAGTGATTTAAGGTCCTCAGTAATTTAACAATATTAACGTCACCAGTAATGACGTGTCCTTCAGAACTATAGTTGTGGGGTGAAGAAGAACATAAACACGTTGGAGAATTATGTTTCAGATGTTCGATATCTAGGCCCTTTAGAGTTTTCTTGTAATTAAGAAGTTTGGAAGCAATAGTCGATGTATATTTGTAAGAAATACCAGGTGTTTATCTTATCTTGAAATATGGTGGAATACAAGACTGGACCCTTTTGTAATTAAGAATATTACTTATATTAACCGCGTCAATTCCTTTTTCAGCATATTGAAAATTAAGGAAAATACGAGTTGTTTTAGCAGTATTTTCTTCCGTAAAACGTTGCGCTTTAAAAAGCCTGTGATTTGCAAAATCCATAATGACAGATCCCAGCCTTTATTCTGGTGTCGAAGAATTCAAAAATGGACTTTCCTTGACTTTTTCAAATAGACTATTTAAATGTTTCAAAGGGACAGAGTAAAGTTTGGTGCAAATATGATGAAGACCTAACTGTTTATTTACATAAGGTAGCAGTGAATCAAGGAAGACATCGTGTTTAATAGGTTTATTTTAAGACTGATGTCCATGACTTCACTTACGTCTCTGTGCACTGTTAAAAAGTCCCATCACATTCACATTGCTACACTTTGGACTGGAAAGATTCCAAACACTGTCGACATAAAGAGCTGGGCAAGGGCTAAGAAACCGGAGGATTGGACCGAACAGTCAAATCACTGTCTGCACACAGACTGATGAAACGAAATATCTCGAATACAAGAAGGGTGTCTTCAAAACCAACAGAGGAGGATTGCAACATAGAAATGTAAAGACAAAGATAACCAGGGCCTACCAAAACAAGACCACTCTAGAGAGATGCCTCGTTTTGGTGTATGAAAAATACCTTACTTTAAGGCAAGTAGTGTTTGAACATCAGTCTGTAGCAATTAAATAAGATTGCTTTTTTACATATTTTCTGAATTTTGTTTTTATTTTTCAGGCTTGAAAATGGCAGATGTGATGCTTTATACTTAAGTCCCCTAAAATACACAAACCAGAATACATGGTTTGCAGATACAGTTTTTGGCGTCCACGTTCTTCAAAAACAGTTGGAAAGCTTTGTTCTCAAGCAGGATTTGAAGGACATTTTACAAATCGATTTTTGCGTGCAACAGCAGCAACGAGATTATATGAAGTTGGAATAGATGAGCAACTTATCACTGAGAAGACGGGCCATAGATCAACTGCTATAAGATCATACAAACGAACAAACGATACTCAACTTCAAGACATCAGCAA